TTATGTTATGACTTATGAGTCCCATGTAATAGGGGTGAGCCTATTGCCATATACCGGGCACAGTTCCAGACTACTACTGAGGTTTTTACAAACCCAGTAATACTTTGCCCGACCCGGGAATCGAACCCGAGACCCCTTGCCCGGTAGTCGCACTTGCGACCACTCGGCCATCGAGGCAGTCTTTTACGTCAATTCCATATAATTTGGTTTTCTATTCTACATGTAGACAAGCGCTAAATGGCATTTGGCTACTGCTGCAGATGAGCATGCTATTTTGAGCAACATTCAGATACACATGCTACTAAGTGACTTTTGACTGGAATGGAATGAAATAGGATGGAATGGGATGGAATGGAATGGGATGGGATGGAATAGGATGGAATAGAATAGAATAGAATAATTATTTATTTGCTCAGAATACAGGTATTAACAATAAGGTGCTATTAAAACACTAATAAGGTATCTTTGTGTTACATTCTACTATAGTGGCATGCAAACATTGATGCAGGTGCATCATCACACATATTATGACACAGTTACAATTTATCAGCAAAATAATTAGACACAGAGTAATAACATTTGCTTAACAAGAGTGCTGTAAGTTTCTTTTTAAAAATTGTCATTGATTCTTTTTTTAATGAATTAGGAATGTGGTTAAAAGTAGTAACATGCCGATGTACTCCATCGTAGACCGCATCATCGCTTACCACCAGGCGAGATAGTGGTCAAACGTCGGCACATCAAATATAAAAAAAAAACAATATACAGATAAACACACAAAGATTCAAATAATATTAATAAATATACTTATATAGTTATAAATAAACATTATAATTACATCAATTTATGTTCAATAGGTATATTTAACTTATATACCCATTATCAAAATTATATTTTATATTACGTTATATGAAAACCTATTTTGTTATTCATACTTATATGCGAAGTTATAACTAGAATATTACAAAAAACACTAAATATATTTTACAATCTTATATTATTGGATTCCTTCACAAAAACTTTATTTGTTTAATCATTATTGCATACTAGATTTTGCTCACGGCTTTGCCCGCCTTTGTGGTGTGGGAGAGCCCTGCTTCGGCGCCAATGGGCCGGCTCGACCGGAGTGATACCACGGCCTCACAGAAAACCGACGTGAAGCAACGCTTGCGTCGTTTCGTTGTGTGAGTGAGGTTACCGGAGGCCCAATTACCCTCCTCCCTTTTACTATGTCACCAAACCCCTGAATCCCCAACGATCCCCAAACTCCTAATCCCTAAAAGGCCGGTAACGCACTTGTAACGCCCCTGGTGTTCCAGGTGTCTATGGGCGACGCCGATTGCTTACCATCAGGTGATCCTGGTGCTCGTTAACCGGTTTATGCCATAAAAAATTTCTTTCTCCGTACTCTCGACTATACGTATGTCCAATTACAATAGATTACTTGAGTAGATAAAGCGCAAAGAGATAACGAACTTACTTTCACATTAATGAATCAGTTGGCTCTTCTTTTTTTTGAGATGGGACAATCGTCCAGTTACTTTTCCCGTCTTGGGTTGGCGAGAGGTAGTGTCTGACTCCTCTTGACTAAAACCCACCCCGTTTCTACTCCTGTTTTTCGAGCCGGAGCCCCGGTTACCTGTTAGGTTCTCCGCGGCTCCGTATCGGGCATCAGCCCTATTGGGCCCCATCTGTGGTGGTCCGATATCTCTTTGAGGCACGCGCAGAACACGACGCCCCGTACGCAGGGGTCTGGTTCTGGTCGAGTCTTGATCCCCGTCCTCAGACCTGCACTTACGGTAGCCGGAGATCGTCTCGCGATCTCCGACGCTCGGAGTGTCTTCCACGACGGCTGGGGCGTGAGGAGGTATATTTCCTCACGCGCCGCGCCTCCTCTTTAGCTAGCATGACTGCTTCGCAGAAGGAGACGGCATCCCAGTCACCTTCACGCCGCACCATGGCCTGAACCAGAACCGGACGCGAGAGGTCACCGTCGCCGATCACATCCCTGAGGACACGGCGGTGCCCAGCCCAGGCACGGCACATCGCCTCCACTGTGTCCTCCGGGTGGTCCTCGCAGTGATATCAGTTGGGTCTATGTAGTTTGCTCCTATATTTTTACTCAATCCTGGAGGAATATCAGGATAAGAAGTATCCTAATAGGATATTTTTTAAAAGTAACCTCTTTTAAAAGTAAACTTTCCAATGGTGAAAGAATTTTCCAAATCGGTCCAGTAGTTTCGGAGCTTTTTTAACATAAACATGCGAGGATAATTTAATAATATTATTATATTTAGTTAGTTTGTTTTTGTACGTTATTTTGTTATACTCTGATGTTTTTTGTTCTTTTCTTTACTTACTTTTTTAAGTTTATTATTATTATATATTATATATGTAAGTATCTGTTGATATTTTTAACATAACATAACATCACGCCTCTTTATCCCCGAAGGGGTAGGCAGAGGTGCACATTTCGGCACTTAATGCCACTGTACAATGTAACACCCACTTTTCACTATTTACCTCTATGTTATAAGTCCCATGTAATAGGGGGTGAGCCTATTGCCATATACCGGGCACATTTCCAGACTCCGTGCTACTACTGAGATTTTTTGAAAAACCCAGTAATACTTTGCCCGACCCGGGAATCGAACCCGAGACCCCTTGCCCGGCAGTCGCACTTGCGACCACTCGGCCAACGAGGCAGTTAGTTAGTAAATATTATTATTTTATATAATCTTTGTGTTGTGTACCAATTGTCAAATAAATGTTATTTCTTTATTTATTTCTTTCAATAAAATATTTCCTCTTTATAATATACTTCTTTATATATTCTTTTTCAGAGTTGCGGGGAGCCTGTGGATACAGGTGGCGAGTTGTCGTTAAACGTGGAAGACTTAGGGGGAGGCCTTTGTCCAGCAGTGAATGTCGGCTGTTGATAATGATAAATATACTGCCTTCTGCCAACGGCTTTACCTGCACTTCTGAGATAAAAAGTACTCCAGTTCAGATTCCAGACCATAATCTACCACGGTTCCAAATTTCATTCTGATCCCTTCAGTCGTTTTGAAGTTATTGAGTAACAAACATACACACAGTTTCACATTTATAATATTAGTTATATGATCTAATAGATGTATTTTATTGCTAAATTACTGAAGCAATTTTAATTAAGTAAATGCTAGATTTATAAATATTAGTTTATAGTTTTATTTTGCGAAATACTTATTAATCTTTGTATCAAAATAAAATCTTGTTTGTGATACGAAATTAAGTGTGGGAGAGCCATGCTTCGGCACGAATGGGCCGGCTCGACCGGAGTGATACCACGACCGAGCTGAAAACCGACGTGAAGCAACGCTTGCGTTGTGTTTCGTCGCTTGAGTGAGGTTATCGGAGGCCCAATTACTGAATTACCCTCCCCTTCCCGAATCTCCCCAATTCCTGAATCCCCAACGATCCTCAAACTCCTAATCCCCAAAAGGCCGGTAACGCACTTGTAACGCCACTGGTTTCCAGGTGTCCATGGGCGGCGCCGATTGCTTACCATCAGGTGATCCGTATGGTCGTTTACAGGCTTATGCTATAAAAAAAGTTTATAATCGCCAACCCGCATTGAGCAAGCTCAAACCTTCTCCGTGTGAGAAGAGGCCTTTGCTTAGTAGTAGGCTGTTGATATGTGTGAATGTTGTTAAATATAAACACAAGTTTAAATAAAACGAGTTAAACCACTTATAGTTAAAATAATGTGTCACTTGCCATTAACTATGAGTTAAAACAAATAAGTGTTTGTTAAGTAAATTAATTGGTTAAATATTGTAATGAAGTTAACAAAAAACTTGATAGGTACTATATGTTTTATAAAATATATGATTCTTTGAAATAAAATTAATGTGTTTTTAATCTATGACGCAAATTATTGATTCATAAGTTAACGGTTACCTAGTTGGCCAAGTGGTCGTAAGTGCGACTACCGGGCTAGAGTTGTCGGGTTCGATTACCTCTCATCCCAAATCTCAGTAGGAGTACGAAGCTGAAGTAGAAACGTGGTTGTTTTTAGGCAGTAAGAGTCTGACACTCCCTCTCGCCTCACTCTTTATCATTGAATGATTTACCGCAATCAAAAAAGAGCCCTTATTTTTGATAAAATATCGGCCGACGCCGCCGACGGTAGGTATGTTGAGTCTCTTTTTTGTTTGGGACAAGCCCGCCACAACCTCCCAAAACCGCTGCAACTCCTGTAAGCCAAGATCCACAGTAGATACAACCATGAAAACACCGGAACACTGAAGTCCGGCGCGTCCCAGGGACACGAATAACTGTCTTGGTTCCCTCAACGAAGTGAATCAGAAGTTATTATAAGAGGAGAAGAAAAAAACCGATAGTTTCGACTTCCCTCGGTGAATTACTGCAGGAGACAGAGTGAATTAAGCCTAAAGGCACCAAAAGGAGACTGTACAACTGGGTGAAGCCCAGTCGCCAAGCACCACGGATATTATATATTGAGGATCGTAGTACAAAAGGTTCAGGTTTATTAGTGAGCGCTGCTGGCTCGGCGTCTGCCAAATATATAGTCTCTCAGTCGGGTATAACACACCCGCGGGAAGAGTAAGGGTGGTGTAAAAAATGTATATTTCTAACCACAACTACTCTTACAAAGTGACACAGCGTTAATAATAGTTTTTCATTAAGGAAACCAGTTACTTAAATAATTATCTTATTTTTCTCAAGATCGCGTGATTAAGATGTACTATAAAGAACCTTGGTTCTTAGCTATTAGCCATTAAACGAATGCGCTAGAACTAGATGCTAGATAAATGAATGACCTTAATGTTAAAAATAAATAAATAACTTTAAATTCTTGAAGAGATGGCTACACATTAGACAGAGACCGGGCAGCAGCGCTCTCTGATAAACTTGACCTTTTATGCTGCAATCTCCAATCCGCCGTCAGACCATTTTTTTCATAGCATAGGCTGGTAAACGAGCTGACGGATCACCTGATGGTAAGCAATCGACGCTGCCCATGGACACTCGAAACACCAAGGCGTTACAAGTGCGTTAGCGGCCTTTTGGGAATTGGGCATTTGAGGATTGTGGAAGGGGTTAATTGGGCCTCTGGTTTCCTCACTCACACGACGAAACACAACGCAAGCGTTGTTTCACGTCGGTTTTCTGCTCGGCCGTGGTATCACTCCGGTCGAGCCGGCCCATTCGTGCCGAAGGATGGCTCTCCCACACTTTCAAAGCAAGGTGTCTGTTTTTGAGGGGTGAAAATCATCCAATGACTTCTTCCGGTGAGGTGAGAAGGATTGTCAGACTCTTATTGATCAAAACCATCACATTCCTACGTCGTCTTCGAAACGGAGCCCAAGGTATATGATACCTCGGCAGGAAAGTAAGGGCTTTCGTATCAAGGATTAGATTCCAAGGTTAAACAAGATACTTTTGGGGATGGATAGGCCATAGGCTCCGAAGGGGTCCCGACCACATTTCCAAGCAAGCCCAGGATTGAAATCCCCAGGGAAAAAGGTAGTGTGGCCGTCTTCGGCAAACGCGGCGTTCGTACTGTGATAGCAGAAGCGGCGGGCATTGGAATGATGTGGAGCGAGGTGAAGCGAGAAGCTCAAGACTGATCGAGATGGAGAAGATCTGTGGATGCCATCTAGTATAACTTCTAATTACATTACTTATATAGATTCCGTTCAAAGGTATCTCGTAAATCATTCAGTGATACTTATTTGCGTAATCGTGATTTTATTAGGTTTTTATAGAAGCTATTAATAAATGATTATGGCTACACGTGTTGCAGAATAAATACAATACAATTATAATGTAATTAATGTTCAGTAATAAAATTAAGGCTACTGTTCTTAGTGACGAAGTGAGTGTCAGATTGTACACAGCTGTAACTACTGCGCGTAGCAAGCTGTGTGACATGTAGCGCGCTAGGGGAGTGTAGGGGAGTGCTGAGAGAGTGACAGACTGTACACTGCTGTAACTACTGCGCGTAGCAAGCTGTGTGACATGTAGCGCGCTAGGGGAGTGTAGGGGAGCGCTGAGAGAGTGACAGACTGTACACAGCTGTAACTACTGCGCGTAGCAAGCTGTGTGACATGTAGCGCGCTAGGGGAGTGTAGGGGAGTGCTGAGAGAGTGACAGACTGTACACAGCTGTAACTACTGCGCGTAGCAAGCTGTGTGATATGTAGCGCGCTAGGGGAGTGTAGGGGAGTGCTGAGAGAGTGACGGACTGTCCACAGCTGTAACTACTGCGCGTAGCAAGCTGTGTGATATGTAGCGCGCTAAGGGAGTGTAGGGGAGTGCTGAGAGAGTGACAGACTGTACACAGCTGTAACTACTGCGCGTAGCAAGCTGTGTGACATGTAGCGCGCTAGGGGAGTGTAGGGGAGTGCTGAGAGAGTGACAGACTGTACACAGCTGTAACTACTACGCGTAGCAAGCTGTGTGACATGTAGCGCGCTAGGGGAGTGTAGGGGAGTGCTGAGAGAGTGACAGACTGTACACAGCTGTAACTACTGCGCGTAGCAAGCTGTGTGACATGTAGCGCGCTAGGGGAGTGTAGGGGAGGGCTGAGAGAGTGACAGACTGTACACAGCTGTAACTACTGCGCGTAGCAATCTGTGTGACATGTAGCGCGCTAGGGGAGTGGGAGTTGAGAACAATATGATTATCATGAGCCTATACCTAGTAATTCACTGCTGGACTATGCCTTCTCTACATAAGAGAGATCCCCATAATCTCCACGCTCGCTATACAGGCTGTTCAAACATTAGGCGCAATGCCAGACTTTGTAGCCTTTGAGCTAGATTACTGAGTTTATCATCAGACAGGCAGACATACACATGTAGGATTTTCCAATTATCTGATCTTATCTTGAAAACTTTTATATAAATCTATATCTATAGAGGAAAGATTTGTACCTATTTTTGTATGTTTGTATGTTTGTAATGAATAGGCTCAAAAAGTACTGGGCCGATTTAAAAAATTCTTTCACCAATAGAATGCTACATTCGTCCAATTTGACATAGGCTACATTTCATTTTGAAAAAAATTAGGGATCCTTGGTAATATTTGAACACTTTAAGACATAAAGTGTCTTTCGTCGAATGCGCTGCCGAAACTATTAGCGATAGAACAAAATAATGTACAACAATATTGTAGAACATCATAATGTCTACAAAAAACTCCGCGGTAGCATATGTTCCAACTATTGTAGTTATGTCACTACAACAATCCGAATTTCCAAAAATAAATAATTGTCTACCCCGTGCGAAGCCGGGACGGGCTGCTAGTTAATATGTATACACGAGTAAACTAAACAGTCATTAATTAAGAAACAGTCGGATTAAAACTAGTTTTTTTTTAAGTTATTTATACTCAAGTTTACGACGACAAACTTAATGTGTCTGTACAGGAAATATGAATATAAAATTGACAAAATAGTTGCGAACCAAATTTTCCAGATAACCTTCAGTAGAAGCCAGACATATTTCTGTGCTGCCGTCATGTAAACAGCAGCTCATGTAGTGTAGATGTCCAGTCAACAAGGATGTCGCGAGGTTGACTGTCCAGGCGACACACGTACTTAGGTATCGTCATGAGCTAATGTTCACATGTAAACAGCAGCTCATGTAGTGTAGATGTCCAGTCAACAAGGATGTAGCGAGGTTGACTGTCCAGGCGACACACGTACTTAAGTATCGTCATGAGCTAATGTTCCCATGTAAACAGCAGCTCATGTAGTGTAGATGTCCAGTCAACAAGGATGTAGCGAGGTTGACTGTCCAGGCGACACACGTACTTAGGTATCGTCATGAGCTAATGTTCACATGTAAACAGCAGCTCATGTAGTGTAGATGTCCAGTCAACAAGGATGTAGCGAGGTTGACTGTCCAGGCGACCCACGTACTTAGGTATCGTCATGAGCTAATGTTCACATATAAACAGCACCTCATGTAGTGTAGATGTCCAGTCAACAAGGATGTAGCGAGGTTGACTGTCCAGGCGACACACGCACTTAGGTATCGTCATGAGCTAATGTTCACATGTAAACAGCAGCTCATGTAGTATAGATGTTTTTTATGGGATAACCCGGTAAATGAGCTGACGGATCACCTGATGGTAAGCAATCGGCGTCGCTTATGGACATTTGGAACACCAGAGGCGTTAGAAGTACGTTACCGGCCTTATGGGCATCAGAAATTTAAAGATTGTTGGGGATTCAGGTACTCTCTTGTCAAGCCGACCCATACGTGCCGAAGCATGGCCACACTCTAGGTTAAAATTACTTGGCTCTTAGCCTAAAATAATTGTTAATACTTATTATTGTCCAGAAATCCAGACTCTATTATTGTACTTAAGGTTTTTTTTCGATCACTTTGACTGGATTTTAGTGTTACATTGTTCTCGCACAATCCAAACAGAAAAACTATGTAACTAGAGAATTGTATTGTGAACGTGATTGAAAAAGGGTTACCTATGGAGTTTCTTGCTCGTTCTTCTCCATAGGAATCTACACCTTGGAATGTGCAAATAGCTTCACTTTTATTTTTTTGTTGACGTTCAAAAGTGCCTTTGACTTAAGAGCAATAAACCATTTCTTATTTTTAATACAATATAAATTAAGTTACAACTTTAGATACATAGAAATGAATATGTATGTATTGTAATGTGTAAGTAGATTAACATTTTATCTCGCGATAAATGTTACAATTATAGCAACAATAGTTTGTATGTTAATTAGACTCGTATGTTAAGACAGGCGTGTCGGTGAGAATAGGGTTTTTGTACAGTGTTATAAAATGAAAATGAAATGAAATGATAATCCTTTTGTTATTGTTATTTGTGATTACATTAGGTGATCGTACTTTGGGACTCCTTTTAAGCAAGATGTGCCTGTGTTATGAGACCCCGCTCCTCCTTAGAATTTTTTACAAAATTAACAATACCAGTATACAATTAAAAAAGTTACAAACGAAAATCAATAAAACCTTTTTTTTCTGCCTATAACAGTGCAATTTGGAAATATAGGGGAATGGAAGAAATTGTGGATGCTTGTGCGCGCATGTGTGAGAATGTGTGAGAGGGGAAAATCATAGAATGACTGCTCCCGCCTGGGTGAGGCGGAAGGGAGTGTCAGACTCTTACTGACTAAAAACCACCCCGTTCCTTCTCCTGCGCGTCGAGCCGGAGCCCCGGTAACCAGTTAGGTTCTTGAGGTATTGTTTAGGCTTTTAGAAAACAGAAAACTACTACATAAATCAACTAAAAATCGCGGGTTACTCACGTGAATATATTAATAAAAGCTCTACTAGTTTCTAGATATAAAAACTACTACATACAAGTTAGTAGTAAAACTATTTCCTACTATAGTGTCCATTCTTATTAAATACTAGCTTCTGCCCGCGACTTCGTACGCGCAATCCCGATATTTCCCGTTCCCGTTCTTGATTTTCGGTAAAAAGTAAAAAAAAGAATTGGGTAAAAAGTATCCTATGTCCGTCTCCTGGTTCTAAGCCACCTCCCCACCAATTTTCATCCAAATCGATTTAGCCATTCTTGAGTTATAAATAGTGTAACTAACACGACTTTCTTTTATATATATAGATTTTATAAACTATCATAACATCACGCCTTTTATCCCCGAAGGGGTAGGCTGAGGTGTACATTACGGTTATTAATACCACTGTACAATGTAACCCTCAATTCTCACTATTTATGTTATGAGTCCCATGTAATAGGGGGTGAGTCAATTACCATATACCGGATAAACTTTCAGACTCCGTGCTCCTACTGAGATTTTTTTTAAACTTTGTAATAGTTACATTGCCCGATTCGGGAATCGAACCCGAGGCCCCTTGCAGTCGCACTTGCAACCACTCGACCGTCTTTAATAAACTATGTAGTCTTTTATAAACTACGTTTTGAAAAAATCGAGATTGAAAAAATAAATAAAAATCTTACAGTCTAACATGGTGCTCACATATGCATACTGACAATCCATAAAAATAGTGCTTCTATACAAGAAAAGGAAACTCTTTGTTTTAATACTTAGCACCTAGCTTCACCTAGTT